TTTACAAAACCGAGTCTTAAGGCTCAAGAGCACAAACCAATATTTGTCTCTGCTTGGGAAACATTTTAAGAACCTGTGGAAATTAAATTGGGAATTTTTGCAACTGTTTTCTATTTATTTTGAATTTTTCCTATTATTTAGACTTAAATTGAAAATAAATAACGCATTTCGTTCAAAATTCTCAATAAAATTTCTAGAAACTTATACCCTCTGTTAGAACCAGAATATAAATTTTTACCATTTTTGGAGTTCATTTTTCATGCTTTTATGGATTGTTGAACACAAGGCACCGTGAATTCAATATTACCAATAATGAACTGATCAAACTTTGGGCACTTTACGACACCACTAGTAGGATAGGTAGTTATTAGATAATGACTTAGTGAATTGTATCTCATTAGAAACTATTTGTTCCGTAGGGCACTAGTAGAAATCGATCTCTACAACACCGAACCGCGAAGCTCGAACCGTGAACTCTCCCTAGTGAGTATTTACAGCCCCCTTTTTACTGTTTTCACGTTTTGGGGTGGAAAGCATGATACTGTTTTATGAGCTATCTGTACTATATTAATGAAATTGGAATGATCTTGTTTTAAGAACTTAATGAACTTGGAATGATCTTGTTTTATGAACTTAATGAACTTGGAACGATATGGTTTTCTGAACTTAATGAACTTGGAACGATATTGTTTTATGAACTTGATGAACTTGGAATGATACTCTTTTATGAATTTTCTGTTATGAACTTGTGCTATGAACTTTATACGATGAACTTTTGATATGAACTTTGTGATATGAATTTGTTATGAACTTTGTATGTTAAGTCCCCGAGAACCGAACTACAACCTATTAACTCGTATTTCGAGCCGACGGTCTTATGGATAACGCTATTTGGGGTAGACATCCCCCACTCACCCAGAACCGTGAGTGCATATTTCCGTGAACTAACATCATGGGAACCGTGGACATTATAGAATGGGGCAAGAACGGTCATTAGGCTTGGTTGTGATCGGAGTGCTTTGGCATTCAACACTCATTTTGAGTTGGAACTTTTTTCGAACAAATCTATATTTTCTTACTGAAATGATGTACCTTTATAAACCTGTGAACTCACCAACTATTTTATAGTTGACCCTCGTTTTTGGCATGCTCTTCAGGGAACGGTCAGTGATCTAAATTAGACATCAACAATAATTTGTACTTGATGTTTCTTTTGTTATGTATTAGACTTTGTAGTAGGGAACTAAAATGTAATTTTGTTTCGAATATGATGTAAACTTAAAATGCTCAATGATTATGGTTGGTACTCCTATTTACCTTGTGTTATGAGACCTTAGCCCGTCATCCTTCGTGTTTCCGCTTTAACGGGGTGTGACAATTGCCCTCTCAGTGAACATACGGGTGATCTCCGTCACCGTCTCCACACCCTGCCTCAAATCCAGAAACTCATGAGCTAACCGCTCGCTCGACCCGCGGAATGTAGCGAGCGCAGAACATATCCCTGAACTGCTCCTAAGTAACCGCAGCTCTCTGATCATCAGTGTATGACCCCGTCATCAACCTCCACCAGTCCTTTGCCCCGGACCTCAGCAAGTTCAGGGCACATCTGACCTTCTGGTCAACAGGACATGAGCACGTGAAGAAACATCCCTCCACGTCAGACAACCACCTCATGGCTACAATCGGGTCCTGAATCCCCTTAAAGTTTGGGGGCTTCATGTTATCGAAGTCTCGGTACTGAAAAGCCTGACTGGCTCCTCCCCCAGCCGCTGTTACAGCTGTTGAAGCTGATGTGGCAACTATCTCAGCAATGGCTGCATAGCGCTCATCAAAGTACTCAACCATGGCGGTCTTGATAGACCCAAACATCTCCGACCATTGTGCCCGGAACAGAGTAGCAACCTCAACATGCAGGATCTCTCAAATCCTGGCATCCAGCTTATCCGACCTCATCTGACCAATGACCTCGGGCACTGCCGATCCCTCCTGACCACCATCTCCTGATCCTGATCCGGATCCAGTCACAAAACGTTTAGTAACCACCATGCTGAAAATATACCAATAAGATATCAGACATTCCATATAATAATCCGGGAACCAACTCCCAACAAAGCCCTAGGGGTTGTGACTTCCTTGCTATGCGTATGGGTCTTGTGCTTTCAGTAGTACGGGCACATACTACCTTCTACACCTACTCATATTTGTATCAAGTATCATCACAACGCCCTAACAATATACGTAAGCATGGTGCGTGCTCAATCCTCACCCCTAGAGGAAGGCTAAATATCTCATAACTGGTCTACTGACTCCGCACAACCCACCCATGAAACTTCCACCAAACCGGAAACACTCGTGTATGCTAGCCATACATAACGTTGGACCCTATAGACTTTCGAATACCTGATCCTACCCTAAGCCCTTCATCAAACAAGAACAGGAAATAAGGCCAAACCAAACATTCTCAGGCTATAAGATCTTAATTATGTACAGTCGCGATGCATACACTAAGCAACTACAGTAATGATGTCAATTTCATATAAGGAAAAACCCTAGGCTATCAGGCATCATATAATCAGGCAATTCTATCATTCAATTCCTGAAGATCCCTAGCCTAGTACTAGCATGTTGTTCTAACATATCGCAAGATCAAATAATCCGTAAGGTATTTTGGGGTCTACTTACAGGCTTCGGCTGATCGTACACTTGCATCCTCCTTTATTATTTTGAAAACCATTTGAAAAATCATTTTAAAATATTGTCCTTATTTTGAGACTGGATACACACGAGTGTTTCCTCCAATTCACTCAAACCAAGGCTCTGATACTAACTTGTAACACCCATAAAAACCATGCTAATTAAAAAAAATTTAAAGCATTCAAAAACCAATAATTATTACAAATTTGTTTTCAAAATGGTTTCATGTCAGAGTATCCCAGAATCAAATCATAAAAATATAAGGAGGTGCACGATCACGCCTTCGCCTTCCCGCGATCATCAGAAGTACCTGAAACAAAATCAACAAGTTTAAGCCCGAAGCTTAGTGAGTTCCCCCAAAATACCAACGCCATACAAACCATATCAATATCATATAAACAAACAGCATGCATAATGAGCCATCAGCCTGACTGGACCACCTCGAAAGGTCATCAGTCTATCTGGAACGCTCTCCGAGTCATCGACACGTCTGGACTGCCTCTCAGGTCCTTCAGCCTATCCGGACCGCTCATCGGGCCTTCGGCCTGACTAGTAATCCCTACCGGGCCTGTAGTCTATCCGGTCTGCCCTAGGTATGTTGACCTTCAGCACAAAGCAGGTCCACCTCAACCCAACCCCCAAATCAAACAATAATGTGCACATAAATACCATACGCTAGCTAGCATGTACATATAGTCATACAGATCTAACAGATCACTAACATAGCATCATCCTATATACCAGGATACCGACCTAACAGGTCACTAAGCATATCACCATCCTAACTACCAGGATGCAAATCAATTAACATATCAGGCAATAAACTCGGATACAAATCCGAAAAGGGCCAGCCTTGGTGCCTTAGACCTTGTTGATATAGTGAGAAGAACTCACCTCACAAGTAGCTCGAGATGATAAATGTCAAACTCTCCAAATACAACTCCAAACTCAATCACCTACATCCACCAATGATCCACTTTCATAAATTCCCAAATTAATAAAATACCCCATAAGTTAAACTGGACGACCCTTGGTCAAACTCAAAGTCAAAGGTCAAGGTCAACAGTGAATGTTGACCCAAATCGTCGAATGCAGTCTTCAGACTCACCGAGTTCCTTCCGAACTCAGAAAGTCGCGAATTCCCCAGTCAACTCGCCGAGTTTCCAGACAACTCGTCGAGTCCATGTGATGTCCTTAATGTTGGGAAAACCCTAACTAACTCGTCGAGTCATCTCACTGACTCGCCGAGTACATGCAGAAACCAAAAACGACAATCTTCATCCGACTCGTCGAGTTGACCATGCAACTCGTCGAGTCCCTTTAGTCCATTTCTCATTCAGACGTTTTTAAGCTACCCCAAAGCTCCAAATGGTAGATCTAGCCCCCTAGGGCATAGTACGTAAAGTTGCAAACTTTATGTGCATGCAAGGTCTTAAAGGACAAAACCAAGCTAAAGAAGAAGTTGTAGGTAAGGAGAAGGCCATAACTTGCTAAAGACTAGAACTTTATGACTATCAGCGGCTAGAGGAGTCCAGATCTGAAGTTACAACGTTAGATCATGCCCAAAACCAGAAATAACTCCACAACAAACTAGAAATAGCCCTAAACCTTTGCATGAAGAGATCTAGCTAGAGAGAAGTCAAGGTAACGACTTGTTACCTTCAAGATGATGCTAAGATGAAGTAGAAATCAGATCCACAAGCTTCTCCTTGCTCCAAGCTCCTTAGACTTCAAGCTCTCTTCACAAAATCCACCTTCCAAGCTTCTTAACACACAAAAATGGAGATTGGACGCGATTAGGGTTTTCTGAGCTCAAGGGGGACGGTAAAGGAGGCAGAGGGAGGCTAATGACCCTTTAAATAGGGTGTAGAGCCCTGGAAATTAGGGTTTCATTTTCCAGCTCTTACTCGTCGAGTGGACCTCCTAAATCACGCGGCCTGATCCGCTTCTACACGACGAGTTGGGGCATCCAACTCGTCAAGTAGGTCTAAGAATGTGAATATAAGCTTTAAATTTTATACATGGGAGTCGAGGTGTTACATGAGGGCTGATATTGCCACGACAATTTTTTATTTTTCCACTGAATAAAATATAGTCTGACTATTATGCCCCTAGTTATTAAAGAGAGAGAAATACTATCTTTGTTTCAAAAAACACAAGATCATGACTGGAAATTCCAAACGACTATTTTTCTTCCTCCTTCAGTTATGTTCTTCAGCCGGTGCTGCTTCAACTGATTCTTTAGCCATCACCATTTGTACCCTCATTAGAGGCTTTAATCAACAGAGCTATACGTAAAAGAGCACATGCTCACAGCCGTCGGAAACACAAGAAACATCAAGAAGGAGCTTGAGTTGCCATCAAAAAGCGTCGGGTAGATTTGAATATAGACTATCGCTTCACTTAAACCATGAAATCCATGAGGAATTTGAATAAATAATTTACTTTGTATACTTAAATGTGAGAGTAAATAGTTTAACTTCATAATACCAATGGTGGTTCTGGTGTAATTGAGGAAGTTATGAATAACGACGACCACAACATTTGTGGTGTTCGAAGAAAGTCTGTGGTGCGGCCATGAATATGAAGAAGCATATGAGAAGAATCTACAACCATAAAACAACATTTTAGAGATTGATAAAGCACCGTTGCCATATCTTGAGCAACTGTATGCTTGAGAACTCCTCGATGGTACATTAATGGATTCTTGATTTTTGTCATTTCACCCTTTAACTATAACCAATCGTCTGAAAGTATTAACAATACAAACAGTTAGGACTCCGAGTCCCTTGGAGGCTCTTTACACGACATCAGAGGTGATGGGAGAGGACCATGATCTGTATCGTGCGGTGATTTTTTGCTTTGGTGTAGGCGTTGAAGAAGCCACCATTGTGGTCATCAGTTTTCGAGAGTGATGAGGATGATGTTTTTTGATGAAGATTAGATAAGAGAGGAGAGAGTTATTCCCTCCCAACCCACTCAACCCACTTCCACATCATTTTTTTCTCTCTTTTTTCTTCATCTTTTTCAACCCACAACACATGAAAATCCTATCTTTTTCAACCCACTCAATTGAAAAAAATACAAAACAACTAAGGTACAAGTCTTAAAAAACATAGTATAAGAGAAAATGAGAGAGAGAAAGTAGAGAGAAATGATTAAACGGGTTAGTGAAACCAATTATACAACCCACTGAAGAGGGAGTGGTATCTTAGAGGTACCAACGGTAGCTCTATTGCTAATTAAGACTTGTACCTTAGTTTTTTGTATTTCTTTAATTGAATGACTTGAGTGTGTTGAAAAAGATATGGTTTCCGTGTGTTGTGGGTTGGAAAAGATGATGAAAAAAAAAAAAACCGATGTGGTAATGGATTGACTGGTTTGGGAGGGAATGACTCCCTCCTCCCTAAAGGGTGGTAGTGAGGCTGGTTGATAACGATGATGATAGAATTGGGCGGTGACTTAGAATTAGGCGGTGACCGGTGGTGGTAATGACGCCTGCTACAACTGAAAGTGCCGGGAAAAGAACCTCCTCTATTTCTCTCTCTTGGTAAATAAGGTCATAATTGTCAAGTTATATTTGTTTGAGTGGAAGTATCAAAAGTTTTGCTGGCAATATCAGCTCCCTTCTCTGATAGGTGAATTCTTTATGAATTGTTGCCACTATGAGGGGATTTGGTCATCAGCATGACTTTATGGACACACACTCATATACACAACCAGCCATACATGGTTTTATATTGTATATATGTGACTAAAGGTCCATTTGAAAATACAGATCTATAAGAGAGTAACTTTTGTCAATTTTTGAATGTTAATCACATTTCATTCAAACCCACACGAACAGGCTTTTTACTAGTTTAAATTAACTCTTATCAGCATTCTAATTTATTCTTAAATTACCTGTACTTGCGTATATGTTTTTAACTTTTTAGAGGAAAAAATATCTCTTTCTAAAAGACTAAATTATTCCTAGCTTCACTTATTTAGAAGTAACATTTTCTGTTTTGTCCATATCTTTTGATAATATAATGGAATACTACACAATTCTCTCCTTTTTGTCTGTAGCTTCTCTCTCAAATTTTCTCTCTCTAGTTTGTTAAATCGGTAGTGCTTGTGCAGAAAGTCAAAAATTGCATACAGTTGCAGAAAGAAAGTTGAAATCGGAGATTTTTCCACCGGCGCTATCTTGCAGTTGCAGGCGCAGAAAGGAAAAAGCCCCCGCCCACCACCACTGTCCATCAGTCACCACAATCTACCACCGCGCTCAGATCAGAGTCACTCAGTCACTCACTCCTCAACTCGCTGCTCGCACACGGTATGCTAAAATCGATATCGCTAAATGCTAAACGCTAAATGCTAATGGCTAATGCAATTCATCATAGATCGATATGAATATAAGACCTTATATAGCTAAAGAAGTGTGTAATTTTTTAGGGTTTACTGTACTTTCGATTAATTTTTACAGCGAAGGAATCATGAATAATACTGTGTCTTAACATCTTCTTACCAGCATCAATCGTTAACAAATAAGTATGATCATATGATATTACATCAAAAATTGATTAACAAAATGCTTTTGTATTAGTTTGGTTGCTATGGAGTACTACTTGAAGAAATCAGATAGAAAAACAAGATGGTCCAGATGGATCGATTGTTACAACAGTTCCCAGAAGATATTACTTGTGGGTGAAGGCGATTTCTCATTTTCCGCATGTTTAGCTCGAGCTTTTGGCACTGCTAAAAACATGGTTGCTACTTCGTATCTTGATCAAGGTAAAAACTATACGTAATAATATATTATATTATTTTATTATTATTAATTTAATATATTATCTTTCATGTCTAATGGGACATTTTGTTGCTAAAAAAATTATTTGTTCCAATGATATGAATTGAGCAACTGTGTTATGTTTTGTTCTGTATACCTTCGTGTCCAAATGTCACTTCCCATTTGTTGCTTTTGGTTAATAGGGTTTAATTACAAATTAAATTGTATTATTGGCTTATTAGTTATGGGTTAATTAACTAATTACTAATCATTGTTATTAGATTCGTTATTTAAAAAGCATTGGACGAGTATACCACACCTTGAAGAACTTGAGAGATTAGGCTGCTTATTATTGGTCGAAGTCGATGTCTACAATATGGACACTAACCCATTTTTCGAAAACACAAAATTCGACATCATCATCTTCAACTTCCCTCATGCTGGCCATTATGATTACTTATCCGAAAGTAGCCCTATATTAATCCAGTAAGATGTTTAATTAATTACCCTATTAATTAAATTAAATTGAAGTACGTGTGATCTCATGCATTGATGTTTGTACCGGTGTGCATGAATGTGTTGTACTGTACATATGATGATGATGACAGGATGCATAGGGAGTTGGTGGGAGCTTACTTTAGAAGTGCAAGCAAGATGTTGAGTGAAGGGGGTGAAGTGCATATAAGGCATAGAGATGATCCTCCATATGATAGATGGAATATTGTTTCGCTAGCTGATGAAGCTGGTTTGGAGTTGAAGGAGAAAGTGTTGTTTGATAAGAGTAAGTATCCTGGTTATCATAACAAAAGAGGAGGAGATGTTCAAACTAACAAGACTTTTCCTATCGGAGATGCTTATACTTTTAAGTTTCTTCAGACTCATGATTTACCAAAGGTTGATTCGAAGAATGATGATCTAGGTTGTGTATTAGAGAGGAAGAATGTTTTATGTGATGATCTTTTTGTTCATATGTTCGATGGGCTTTGTTTAAAGGATGATGATGATGATGATGATGATGATGATGATGATGATGATGATGATGATGATGATGATGATGATGATGATGATGATGATGATGACGACGACGAGGATTATGAATATGTTGATGATGACATCGATGAGAAGGAAGATAACAACGATTATGATGATGATTATGATTATGATGATGATGATGATGATGATGATGATGATGATGAGAAGGGATATGACGAGGACAACAACGATGAGGAGGAGTACTGTTGTGATTACTACTACGAACATGATTATGATAATCCATGGTGATATTGGTGTATGAGAAATTAATGAAGGGTTATGTTCGTGATTATGATCATATTGATGGGAAAATGGGGTTGAAGATAATGATAGTTACATGGTCATGGTGATGTAAATAATGGAAGATGATGATTGTGATTGTGATTAAGAAAATGAAATAATTGGCCATGTTTGATTGTACGGGTTCAATAATTGTTATCTTTTTACCTTTTAGGAGACAAGGTAATAAGTTTTACTTTTGAAATTATTGAGGGTATGATATAACTCAAAATATCTAGCCACTTAAGTATTTAATTTGAGGAAAATGACAAATCTAGCTATTTATTTTAATTATTTTTTATAAAATACTTAAAGATTATTAAAGTTTTTTAAAATTTAACCAGAGAGACCACATGATGCTCATGCGTCGGTGGTTTCATCGAGTGGTTAGCAAAAATCATGGCCTCTCTTTAGTTTGGTGGTTTGTTTGTCTAATATATTTAAAACCTAAAAAGTATTCCTCATTTTTATATTCATGTCTTAGAAATTTTACCTGATGTAGAAGACGGGTTTCCTATTAACAAATGTTGTTGGTTTTTTTTTTTTTTTTTTAATTAATAATATCAGTTGAAACCTAGTAGTTATTGGTGGTTATTTTATCTGAATTATGAAAAAAAAGACAAAATCACAGATGGCTATTTGCGATTGGACAACCCTTTTATGCACACACAGTGCATTAACGATTTATACAATCAAAGATATTAGCCTAGAAAAAACATGAAATCGAAATGGGTAAACAGGAGAACGCATATGGTCTTATTTGCAATTTCGTATTATGAGAAAATGGCTAACATCTATTTTTTTTATATACAATATGAAAGACTGAAACCACATTTGGCTTTTTAGGGTATAGAAATGCTTAAAAATTCCGAGGATCGTGTTGAACACTTTCATATTAAAGTATTTGGATGGTACTCTCAATTTTTTTTAATCGGATAAGACTTAGAGAGACAAGAACAGAGAGTGTTTTGATAATGTTTTCGTATGTACTAGAAAATGAGACCAAAACCGATTTTAAGATCTCTGTCTGAAAACTGTCATATGACAATTTCAAACCGTCACAAACCACCAAAAAACGGTCATAAAAACGGGTGTTTGGATAAAAATAAAAAATGGGTCAATTATCAAAAAACCGGATTTTTGATGCATTTTCTATATAGTAACATAACCTATATAAAAAAATTTCACACTAACCTAGCAGCTCGACCCCAGCCAAGGGTTCTGCCCCTTGGACCCCACTCCCAGGGGTGTTGCACCCGGAACCCTGTTTGTTCAAGGGATTCGTCCCTAAATGACAGTGTACTTTGAAACTTGATCAAACTTAACCAAGTGTGTAATCTGCACCTTCCTTACTTGTTTAATATTATCAATATCTATTTTGATCAACAAATTAATCTCATTACACTTAAATAACATTGATGATAACAAATCACCAACAAACAACGGGTGGTTTGATGAAAACGCATGCTCGTTTGCCTTATATGCAATTTCTCCTGTTAAAAATGAAAAATTCTTTATTTTTTGCTAAATATAGAATTTGGTTAAAAGAAATGGCTAGATTTGTCATTTACCATTAATATGATATTTTGAGGTTATTACCAAGTCGGCCTGAGCACATGCGTGGTGTACGACAACATAGGGCATTGTGTTGTCACGAGGCTCAAATTTTCAATTCATCACGGTTCCATCAATAATTCGTCGGGAAATTGTCATTGTCTGTCGTTACTCTCTCATGAATTTGTCGATAACCTGTCACTATTCATCCCTAATTTTTTCTGTGTTGCTAATCCTAAATTTTAGAAGCTCATTTTTTATTTTTGCACGAACCCTTCAACTACAGTGTACCTGCCCTTGTTATTACGACCAAAAAAATAATATTTACCTATTTTAACTTTGATCCAAACATAATTCAGGTACATGAACAAATCATAAAAAAAAACCCTTAATATCATAAAAAAGGCTCCCTTCTATTCTTAAATCAAAA